CTCCCCAGCCAGCTGTGCTGGCTGGGGAATTCTGGGAGTTGAAGTCCACACATTTTCAAGTGGCTAAGGCTGAGAAACACTGGTGTAGTTGTTTGTTTTTACTGGAGGTGAGACATTTCTTTTTGTAAGTAAAATGGACACTCCAAGCGTGTATGTTGACCCATTCCTTAATGCACAGCTTCTCTGCTTCCTCTATTAAAATCCTATCAGAAATATCCTTTGTAAGCCGAAGTTAATTTAATATGCATTTATTCTTTGCAGCAACAGAAATTATCCCTTAGTTCAGACGTTACACGAGCAAGCCTTAAGTAGACAATTCCCTATGAAAATGCCACCTACTCTATTGACTAAGACCACTTTCATGCACATAAAGACTCAACATGTGGGCCAGAGGAAAATAAGGTTGATAAAGAATCCTTCTATTTTCTGTCCGAGTGGGCTGAATATCCAACTTCTAGAAAGCTTGATCTCTGCTTGTCCATGTTGGGTTGGACCTGGGTTATGTGTTCAGTCCAAATATGGAGTGGGATTGTGATGTAGAACTTGTGTCCTTTCTACAAACAAAGGTATTACGGATTGCAAAGCTCTCGAAACAGACATTCTGCAGAGTGTATTAGCTTGAATGTCGCCCCTCTCTTCAAAGCAGCCATGTCTGGGTCAAAACGGCTGGATTTTGTGACTTTTTAGATTTTCTTCCCTGGGAGCCGCATGTCACTACAAATTGCTCTGGAAAGCTCCTGCATTGAAAAATATGGTACCCCCACCCTCCCCATTATTTGGGGGATGGCTGAGACGCCACATTTTTTAGAAATACCTTTGGAGAGGTGGCATTAATAATGCTGATGTTTGGATGCCAGCTAGTGGAAGTAAAACCTCAAAAGTTGAAGTGGAAATCTCCTTCGACTCAAGTATGGCTGCTGGTGACTCCATGGAGGTGGCTTGCTTTCTTCCAGAAGTAGAAAAAGATGGTTTGGGGGTTTTAGCTCTCTTTATTGTATGGGTTTTTGCTTATTTTTTTAATAAGGTTCAAAAAAGGTTTTTTTGTTATGTTTCACAGGTTGTCAGATGATGGAGGTATGGTGGAATTTGGAAGGGGGAAGTTTGTGGTTTGGGTTAGGTCCACTGCAGGTCCACCTCCAGTGGCATGGGTTGGGTTTATATGGGGCTTCCCTGGGAATTGAGACTTTTTGAGTCTGCACTGCATTACTCCTGATTCCTGGTTACCTCTGCTGCTTTTTGGGTTTGGGTCACAGTTGAATGGTGATGGAACCTGGTTGGTTGGCTTGGACACTGTTGCTACTGATGACTCACCATTCTGGACCTGCCAGTGAGTAAGTGGAGAGGGTGGTCCTCTGGAGTAGAGACTTTGGGGCTAGCAAGGCTTGCTGTATGACTTCTCCCCCTTGGCCACAGGCCTGGCTTTCAACTTGGATGTTCAACAGGATTAGTTGGTGGGAGTCAGGTCGGGAGGACAGAGGAGCTGCCAGTTCCTGGGGAGGCAGGCTGTGTTAGTGCCCCTGGGTCACCGTTGATGGAGGCACCCGGGGAATATCTCAGCTCTCTAGCCGGCAGCTCTGTTTGGTCCCTGGTGAGCAACTGGAACAGGATGTGAATTGAGCGCTGGACATTACTGCTCCTCAGTGGCCTCTCCTTTGGTGACCAATCTCAGGAGGCTCTCCAGGAAATAAAGCATCACCAGAAATGACACTTAGAGTGCTAGATAAAGAAAGCAAAAAACAAACCTGACTGAACATGGGTATGTACCCATGTTTGGACCTATACCATGGTGATAAGGGAGGCAAAGCATTCTTACTTTTCCTCTGTTATTACATTGGAGGACTGCTGTTCAGTGGCCTTGTTTAGGGGAGGAGATGGTCTTGATCTCCCCTAAAGATCTTCTGCCTGGCCTTTGTGATCAGTTTGCACAACTCTTTGCCAACAGAGTTGTTCAGTTTTGTTGTGGTCTGCCTCTGCATGGACAGTTGACTAGGGCATTGTCATAATCTATTATCTGGGACTCCTTTTGGCCTGCGACCTCCAAGGTGATGGTGTCCCCGTTGCCTCCTGCCACTTACTGCTTAGACTCCTGCCCATCCTGGCTCATGTGGGAGACAGCTGGAGTGGTGAGCGTACAAATCTGAGAAATCGTCAATGCCTCATTGCAGGAGGGGGAATTTCTTGCAGCCTTAAAAGAGTCTGTAGTTCTGAAGAGGCATCCCTGGATCCAGTGGTCTTGGAAACTATTAGCTGGTCTCCAGCTTCTTTTTGTAGGGAAGGTTGTGGATCCGGTAGTGGCAGATCAACTTCTCAGCATCCTAGAAGCAGAATATTTGGACCCTTTTCAAGCAGAGTTCAGGCCCAGATGTGGATTGGAGACTGTATTGATCTCTTGGGTGATCTGGGTCAAACCCTGGATGGTGTAAGCACCCCTCCTGATCTTATTGGATCTCTGAGTGGCTTTTGATACCACCGACCATGGTATCTTATTGGACAGCCTGCTGGAGTTGGGGAAAGGAGACATTGTGTTACGATGGTTCTGCTCCCTCTTCAGCGCATGGTTGTAATCTGTTGTGGGGGGGAAAGAGAAGACAGCCATGTGGAGCACTGCAGGGGGCCTTTTTTTCTCCCCTGCTTTTTAACTTCTACTGTATACAAAGCTGTGAGGAGAGGTCATTTGGTGGGTTTGATGGTCAGTATTATTGGGGTGCTGATTGTACCTCAAATCCTAGGCTGTGAGGGCACTTGCTGTCAATGTTCTTTCATGGTGTCTGGAGCCTACCAAGGTCTGGATGGGAGAGAATAAACTGAAGTTGAACCCCAGTAAATCAGAGTTGCTGCTGATACATCAGAGTTCTCTATCACCACCAGAGATGTTCCTTGGCAGGTTCCATGGGGGGCAGGTTTGTGACTTGGGGGTCCTTCTGCACTCTTGAACAGCAGGTGGAAGCCTGTGAGGGGCCTATGCCCAGTTTTGGCTGGTGCTCCAGTTGCGATCTTCCCTGGTGTGGCAGGACCTGGCTACAGTAACTCACACCCTCATTACCCCTTGGTTAGACTGTGGTAGTGTGCACTACTTGGGGCTGCCTTTGAAGACTACTCAAAAACTTCCGTTGTCCAATCCACGTCCTTTTCAGCTCCTGGCACTGGAAGGATATAATACTGGTTTGGTGGACTCTGCCCTGGTGGCAGATCGATTTCCAGGTAAAATTTAAGGTGCTGGCTTTGACCCATAAGGCCCTTTATAGCGTGGCACCTGCAGAACCACCTACCCCAACCAGCACTGACTTAACCTGTTAGAACAACCAAGGAAAAACTGCTGCAAGTCCCACATTTTGGAGAAGTTTCCAGGGGTTTTTCCTCTGAGTTTACACATAGCACAAGCTTTTCTTTTCTCTTTCCGTTTTATGGCTTTATTTTTGCAGGGGTTTGTTTTGTTACATGTTAGTCTGCGTGTTTTACATGTCGTCACGGACATTTTTTGGTACATTCCATGTAAGCCTCCCAGAGTAATGTTGACTGCAGTGGGGTAGGAATGCCTTTAATGAAAAAGTAATAAAAACAAGCACATGGATTTTTGGCTTTCCATTCTTAGAAACCTGGCAGTTCCCGGGGTCTCCCCTCCAAGTAATAGCCAGGCCGGGCTGTGCTTCTTTATTTCTTTGCTGAATTTAGATCCTGTCTTTCTTTCAGGAGGAGATCAGTCAAGGTGAGATAGAGGTGATCTTAGTAAATTGTGCATTACCTCAGGCCGAAACTGGTTTTGAAAAACATCCCTGCGTCGAGTTACGTAGGCATGCCACCGAGAAGAAATAGGGAAGGGGGGGAAAAATCTGCTTTTAAGCACCCTGACTGATACTCTGGCCATAAGGATGTGGCAGCGTAGCTAACGCGGTTGCAGGTCCTCTGTGAAGTCCGTTTGCTGGGGTCATTTCTCGTTGATGATTTCTTCCTGTCTCTCCGTTTCTGATTTGACAGAAATGCCTAGAGCTAAAAAACAGCCTGTTGGCCCGGCAAAAAGGGGTTCAGTCGTCGCTGGAACACCTCAAAACCCTCATTAGACTGATTCAGAACGAGCAGATGCTTCAGGTGACCATGACAACGACCACCACCTCCTCCCTGCTGACTGTCCCCTGGACCAAACCCTCCGCTGCCTCGGCCGCCGCTGCTCCCCAACCCTTGCAGCCGGCCCAGGGCAACAACTGACTGGGGCTGCCCCCCGCCGGCGGGTCTCCCCCCTTCTTCAGGAGAGAACCAGTCCAACCGACCAGGACGCTTTCGTGCATGCAGGCGGAGAGGCGCATCCGGGGGGAAAAAGCAAAATAGACTGGCAACGCAGGAAACGGCGGCGTCAGTCTTCTTCCATCTCCCAAAGGGCGTGGGGGGAAATAGGAGATCCCGACCCTCGAGGCCCCCTCGGCAGCTCAGCGTCGTTTCCCCCCTTCTTCGTTGCTGGGAATCTCAGCGCTTGCAATCCTCCCTTCCCTTTGTTCGGTTGCGTTGGCCTTAATGCAATTAAGAAAGACGACGAGGCCGGTGGCGGAAAGGTGCGAGGAAGGAGGAATGGCCGGGAAGGCAGTGCGCTAGTGCAGATAGGTGGTGGGCGGGAGCCGGAGCGGCCAAGGGTGGCTCTCTCTTTAAAAAGGATAAGGAATAGTTTGGGACCTAGCATGGATTCCTGATTTTTTGGAAAAAGGATCAAGTGTCGTTTTCATTCAGGGCTATAGAGAAGAGTTGCATTTGTGGACACTTTCAGAGCCTTCAAAATCAAATCTTTTCTTTTCTTTCTTTCTTTCTTTCTTTCTTTCTTTCTTTCTTTCTTTCTTTCTTTCTTTCTTTCTT